GGGGGGGGGGGGGGGGGGGGGGGGGGGGGGGGGGGGGGGGGGGGGGGGGGGGGGGGGATAAGAGGCGAGGGTAAAAAAGGAAAGCATTAATGCGCGCATTCTTAACTTTCGCGAAAGACGTTAAAGCGGGACTCGCGCACGGCCCGCGATAATTTATACCCTGGCACACAATAAAACGTCGACAAGAACCGAGTGTAAGCGCGCGCGTGTGTATATAAGACGAGCTAACCTATGTGTCGAGTGGGTGTGCAGCGGTAGCAGCAGCAGCAACAGCAACAGCAACAGCAATAGCAATAGCAACAGCAACAGCAACAGCAATAGCAACAGCAGCAACAGTAGTAGAGTATATATGGTAGACGATGTCCGGCCGTGACCCTGCTTCTCTCTCTCTCTCTCTCTCTCTCTCTCTCTCTCTCACACTCGCGCTCGCACCCGTTTTCTCCTCTGTTTCAGACTTCCCTTCGTTAGTTGGCTTTTGCGTGCCTATATAAGTGAGCGCTGTGTGACGCGAGATACGAGAGTCGATGGATAAGTCGACGAAACGTGTAGTACGAATTTCTTCTCATTTCTTTATCTTCATTTTTCCGCTCTTCGTGTATTATTAAAGCCGTACGATTTATTTCGTAACTTTATAGCGTAGCGGACTCGACGCGAGTCCGGAATATTCGTTGACATTGACATATAAGTAGAAATTGCGAAAAATTCAGTCGTATTGTAGGCTAATTTTCAACGTCAGAGTCGTGCGAACTTATACGAAAATAATAATTCGTATCTAAGCGTCAACTCGGTACTATTCATATACGCGTAATCGCCTTCACCAATCTTGTATAAATATTTATCAATTCATTACTAGCCTGCTTGCATCAATTTATCACAATAACGTTCTTTCGCTCGAATGTCAGATAATGCAATCGTATTTGCTAAGATACAAGAAGTATTGTGCGTGTACGCGCTCGTAAGTGAGAGAGAGAGAGAGAGAGAGAGAGAGAGAGAGAGAGAGTAGCAGTGAAAAAGATTCCAACTAAATATAATTAAGGCGAAAAGTGCACGTAGTAGGTTAATTGAAAGCTTAACGAGTACAAAATTAACTAAAAAAGCCCGAGTGGAGCTTTCCAACGTTCGATTCTCCGCGCAAATGAAGCGACTATTCGGTCTTTATCCGGGCCATGTAAAAGCGTTGTCGTTGCCGTTGTCGTTGCCATTGTCGTTGCCGTTGCCTTTGCCGTCGTCGTCGTCGTCGTCGTCGTCGTCGTCGTCGTCATCGTGGGACTCCCCGTATAGTTTCGGAAGAAAAAGACCGTCCCGCACTTGCCCCCGTCCAATGATTTACGAGGCTGACTTTGTATCAAGCTCGGAATCCCGGATGAGGAGTCCCGCCCACGCGCTC